TCTTCAATGCCACTGATTTTTGTTAAGGTCCGTTCATTCAGTTTACAGTTGCCCACAGTGTTTCATTAAATATTTTTTTTTCTGTAATCGTTATTGTTGTTATTATTGCTACTGTCACGCCTGTTATTGCGCTATTATTACTGTTATTGTGAGTGTAGCTATTGTTTTACCTTTAAGGGCAGCTGCGTTGGCGGCGTAAAAGAACTGTATCATTTGGAGGAGAACGGCTCACTGGGCGAATGGCTAAAGGAACATCAGTATGATCTTGCTGTTATCGGCGGTGGTTCTGGTGGCCTTGCAGCTGCGAAGGTCACTCATTTTCCGTGAAAAATTCTTCCTTGAGTATTTTCTGGTTGACTACGTATGCATTTTGTTCCAGGAAGCTGCTCGTCTTGGCAAAAAAGTTGTTTGCTTGGATTTCGTTAAGCCATCGACAATGGGTACAACTTGGGGTTTGGGCGGCACATGTGTCAATGTTGGCTGCATACCGAAGAAGCTGATGCACCAAGCTGCCTTGCTGGGCGAGCAAATCGGTAAGTTTTTGCATTCGCTCTCCCGCATCCTCTCCGCTCTTATTCAATTTTTTCATGCACTGCATCGTTGTAGAAGACGCGAAGAAATTTGGCTGGCAAGTGCCTGCTGGGGAAATCAAACTTGACTGGGAGCGCATGAAGAGCGCGGTACAGGATCATATTGCTTCGCTGAACTGGGGATACAGGGTCCAGCTAAGGGAACGATCAGTATGTTATATTATCGCTTTAGCTGGAAGTGCCACACTTGAATGAGTGGGCATCATCCCTCAATAATGAGGCATTTCAGTTGCTGTGCTTTTCATCATAGATTCTTTCAGGTGACTTACATGAACTCATATGCCACATTTACCGGTTCACATGAGCTGACCGCAAAAAACAAGAAAGGAAAAATCGAAAAAGTTACAGCGGACAAGTTTTTGATTGCGACCGGTCTGAGACCCCGCTTTCCGGATGTTCCAGGTGCGCTGGAGTGTTGCATTAGCAGGTTGTCTTTTCATTCCTCAGAGCTGCAGATCTGTTTCGCTTCCTACTAGCAAACATCGTTCTTAATCGTGTGATTACTCGTTGCAGTGATGATCTCTTTTCTCTGCCGTACAATCCTGGGAAAACTCTTTGTGTTGGCGCATCGTATGTCTCACTGGAATGTGCTGGATTTTTGAGAGGCATTGGTAACGATGTTACGGTCAGTTTTGTTACTGCATGATCTTCTGTCACGCATCATATTTTCTGAAGTATTGAAACTTATTCCCTTTGGAAGTGAAACTAAGTGTGGGTTGTATAAAGATGATCCTTCAGGTTATGGTCAGATCAATTTTATTGCGTGGCTTTGATCAAGATATGGCTGAACGCATACGAAAACATATGATGGAACACGGCATCAAGTTTGTCCAGTAAGTGCTGGAAATTGATAGTCGTTGGGCAAGCTTGGGTATAGTAAATTATAGGTGAGAAGAATAGTGTAGATTTCTGTAGTAGGCAGTTGATTCGTTCCGCCAATTGAAAGCATTTTTAAGGTGAACTGATGTTGGATTTGTAATATGGGAGCTATTGTTATTATTGTTGTTACTGTTATTATTATTGTTGTTATTATTACTGTTATTATTATCGTTATTATCATCGTTATTACTATTGTTATTATTATTTGCTTTTATTATTAGCAGTCTAGATTCTATAATAGTTCTTTCAAAACGGAGCTGAATAAGGCGTGTATTTTTTAACGCCTA